GGATACTTCTGATCACAGTGTATTTACGTCCAGTTTTGCAATTTTTTTCAGTTTTCTAAGTTTGTTTCTTTGTTGGAAATATTTTGATTTTTATGCGGTTGGAGTCAAAAATGCCACATTTGTCATCAAAATTACAAGAAAAATTCTAAAACCTATGATGGTTTATTTATGTATCTATTTGATGGAATAAGTATGGATCGGCTTTTAATGAAATGTAATTATTTTTCATTTCGCTTTGGAACGCCTTTTAGTACAGAAATTCATTTTTTGTATTTCAATGTGTAATTCATTTTTTTGTATTCCAGTATAATAAAAGAACCTTTTCTGTTATTAGATTTATGTCACGAATGATTGCGTCATCACACATTCAGCCAATCGTATCGAGAGAATCAGGGGGAGGTAGAGCTAAACGAAACAGCCGACCACCGTTTACTCGCACAATGTCAAATACCCGAGGGAAGTTTCGCAAAATTAAGTTTGATTCTCTTAAAAATGTATAATGCTGTTATACAAAAATAGTAGTTTATGCAATTAGTTTATAATTTTAAGCTTTATTGCACGAGTACATGTTTTAAAAACGAGGGACTTTAGGAGCAAATTTTCAAATTTGTACGAATGTAATAAAGTAACAGTATAAACTAGAATCCGGTTTCAACAGATTTTACTCTACTAGGTATTACGGACTTCTGAATCTAAGGACTGCTACTGACAAATATTTATAATTTATTTCATTTTTATGTAAAAGGAGGGCATCATTTATAAGTGGAAGATGGAAGGTTAATCCTAATTATATGTATTATGAAATATGTATGATCCTTTTGCACAAACGTGAATTACAAATAAAAGACATTTAATTAACCCATTTTATCTCTAAATAGCGAATACCTTTTCTGCTAATCACCTCTGGCAATTCCAGTCTTCATGTATTCACATATATCTCCAAGGCAGCCCCATAGGTGTATCGCTTTTGTTTTATCAGGAAAGGATTATTGCAGCAAAATTACTATATTTCCGAGGAGAAGTCATATGTTAAACTATTTTAGAGGGCTAGAGCACAGGAATATGGTACACAAAAAGCAGCTCTTACAATTTCATTCACTTTAATCAAATCTTTACATTTTTAGTGTAGAAAACCACATTTCACAAACTGGCATTATATTCAGAGAAGAAAATAATTGCCGTCATATGTTATCACCAGTACACCCTCTCAGGGAAGCAGTTTCAGCAATACAACAACACATTTATAAATAAAACGTTAAGCCAAGATCACTTGATCAATTCTAAAATATTAAGTACTGATATACACTGTCACAAGTCATGTAGAGGATTCTTGCAACATAACTATTGTATGTTATATACAATACTTGCTTGAAGATGAAGTGTAGATGATTTTTACCTTATACACTAAGTTTTCTGGAAAAAGTCACCATCTATTATAGTTGAGTTAATCTTAAAAATGACATCTGATTGAAATAAGTAAAATTATTTGTTGATAATCAAGCACCAGAACTATTTACATTCAATGTACATTTGGAGAAGCACACAATATTTTTACATAAAGAACTTACATTTTAAATAGTATGAAATCAAGTAACTGAAGTTATCATAAAGTTCAATATATTATACATAATTTACACTAAGAAAGAAAAATGAACAGAAAAGCATATAGTATTACTTCATTTTTATATTATTTAAGTGAATGCATGTGATCAACTTCAAACATGTTATAATATATCCATGCACACTCATTTCTTGCATAAGGTTAACTGACCAAAGTAGACAAAATAGGATAACACTTTTTTCTGTTCATAAAGATAAAAGAAAGAATAAACTTAAGGTGGCGCAAATAATTGAACAGTGAAATATTTCAGTGAGAAACAGTTACTGCAATTTCAATACTGGTAAATATATGACAAAGATCAATAATATAGCTTTGTCTTGATATGAATAGCATGCAATGATGTGCATTGCACTTAGGTTTTGCAATTTACAAACTTTCCTTCATTTATCCATTACATTTCATTATTAGCTTCAGAAACTAGGAAATTATAAAGATGTTTTAAGATCTTGACACCAGGTACAAAATATCTTTCTCGGATATACTGCCAGCAGGCTAGAGCCCTGGGAATTCTGCTTTCATGTAAATATCTTATATTTTCAGTTCCCTTCTAGCTTTTGGCACAATACTTTCGTACTTCAGATACCAGATAGTACAAAATATGCAAGTATGGAACTTTCTCCTTGCTTTCCATTACCCTTGATCCTTGTATTTGATTCAGATAATTATATAGTAAATTCTCACAAAACATGTAGCAATGACACCCAAAATATATATATTAATATATTTCTCAACTTTATGAGAATTATCACTCTTTTTTTTTTTCGAATGCTATTGACAATGTTACAAATATATTGGGAAAATATTGACGGCAGAGGAAGTAATAGCAGAAATAGAAATACTAGTTGTTTGAATATGGTGCGTTTTATGTTTGTGTTTAGAAGAACTGCAGTTCCTCAGACTAAATGTAAAGTGATGCAAAAATAGTCCATTCAATCATAAATAAAATTTAATACAATGTGTTTCACTGAATTTTTTTTTTTTTTTTTAAAGTAACGTTCAGGTATACATCATAAATAGTGACAGTTTGTAACATATATAATACTACAGAATTTTCATTGTCTCTTCCATATATATATATTATACTTTCACAAGGCATATAATACAACAAACATATCGCCTCCTTACAGTTGCAATTTTTTAAACATGCAACATAGTACAAACATCTAATAACACTGAAGACATGACATTCAAAACAGAAAGCTTGAATGATTTTGTAGTTCAAGTTTCTTGTTTTTTCTCTGAAAATTTCATGTCTCACAGAAAAAGAAAAGAAGGAAAGAGAAAAAAATTAATGAAAGAAACATGAAAAAGTACTACTTGAGCAACAGATTGCAGCAATTAAAAAAAACTACAACTACATTGATTGATAAAATTATTTTCTGATTAAGTTAACTTTCAGGTGTAGGGTTCTCATCAATAAGTACAATGAACAAATTATTAAATAATTTTTTCCTCCAGAAAATAACTTTTCTAACAACTAGGATTAAGGAAATGAATAATTGTGAATATATAATTTAGAAATAAGCAAATGTGTGCTGTTAATCATTATTAATTATTGCATTGAGAACTTGCTAATTTAGTGTATTAGGAACAATCCAAATTTGAAAGAAATTTGGACTAGCTATGCACTCTTCTTATAGGTTTGTGTCAAGGAAGAAAGGTTTTGGAAAAATTCCAAATATCAATTTTAATTGTAAAATAATTCAAATGACCAAGTGAACACACAGACTTAAAATAGTTAAGTGTCAAGTTTCAAATAAAAAATTGGATCAAGAAAAATCACCAAGTAATAAAACATTATGACGGTAAGGAGTAAATTCAATTTGCAACAGTGTGATTCAAAAAAGATTTGATAATCACTATTGCAGACAGGAATTACTAATGAGTGAGAAAAAAGATAATTAAATTATCGCTACAAAATCATGTACCAAAACTAAACTTCAGCCTCATCCTCCCAAGTTTTTAAAACATTAGTTAGGATAGAAACAATTTAGCAAAACACGTTGGTCTAAAGATTGGTGTGTACATGTTAGTGTATGTGTTCACATGCCTGAAGAGTAAATTGGCCAGGATTTTTCAAGAAGGCTAAAAAAAGAACCTTTTTCTGTAAATAGAGTTGTTTTCATTCTTTGAAATATAATTACTGGAAATAATTTGTTAGTACATAGCAATTAAATAATATATTCACAACTTTCATTACACAAATAATAAAAAATTCTCTCACTTCTCAATGTTTGGTAGTTCCTTAAAAAGTATGACTTTCCAACACAAAATTTGTTTCATAATGTAGAACAAATATCAGCAAAATGCAAAAGAAAAGTACTGATTACATGTGACTCAAGCAAAGTTGCCTTTTTCAGATGATAAATATATTAGTAATTGAAAATCAATGCAATTGAAGAAATGACATTAAATTAATGCAGCACACAAATACTATATTGTACAGTGGGAAAGCAGTACATTTAAAGCAATGGACATAGTTTGCATTATTTTCATTTATTGGAAAATCAACATTGAACTGTATATTATCAATATGAGGCACAGAAGTCACATGTATAACATTAATTTTATAGTCTTCATTTCATGTGGTACACACATTTCTGAAGCATACAATCAAGTTTATTATATAATCTAAGATTAACAAAAGGCATTTGCATTCAACATAAAACTATTTTCTTCTAAGTATGATGAGCGCTTTCTGTTTAATCTTTTGCACTCAATTTTCAATTTTAGTGTCAACAGGAGTGTACGGTGGGAACATGGAATCTAGGCCTACTGAAAGTCCATTCATTATAAAAGTATGGCTTATTTAGATACCTATTCCATAATATGTAGAATTAAAACTTTATGCTTGTCATTGGATTTCTGAGGGTCACATTTTTCAGAGTGCTGATGGGTTGTTAACAATTGCCTCTTTCTCTCACAACAGATCTTTTTTGGCTCAAAAATGCATATCATACATTTTTTATACTGAGCCAGAAATATTTCTGAATCCATTCTTTGGTTTGAATCAGAGTTGACTAAGACCATTATAAGGGGAGACAAGTTTCAGTAACTGTATCACTAAAGTGTTTCCTTCTTCACTGGCCTTTCATCGCACATTTTATTTCAGAAGTTTATTGTGATGTTAACAGCAACTGTTGTTATGTTTACATGTACAGAGAACAAAATTTGTGAGATATAATTCATTTGTAACTCACTAGAACCGTTTGAAGAATATATTCAAACTTCTCACAAACACACACAAGTCAAAATCTCTTATAATAAAAATATCCATTTTGTTGCACTGCTGTTAAATTATATATACTAATACTATATAATAATATAATACTATATATATATATATATATATATATTATATAATATATTATAATTAATTAATGAGAAAATCCAACTTTTTAATTGACAATTTGTGTATACATGAGAAATATTTATGTTGAATTTCTGTAATGAATAAGATTTAATTATGTTATGTTGAAATAAAACATGCATTATTATTGGCATGGTTCTAATTGACACTGTATTTAAAAATATACAATGAGAATGAAAAAATATAATATTATAAAGCAAAAGTTAACACTTTGCACCCATCATCACATCAAACCATTGAAGTAATCATAAATTCTGATTATCTATTTCATGGATTTTAATGAACATCTTTATTTCAAATATTTATGGTCAGCCTTGCAAGTAATGAATAATTCAAGTTTATCCAAATACAGAATTTTCATTATCACAAAGCAAAAATAATCGTACCCTAGAACTGTTACACTGAATAAATCCATGAAAAGATTCACTTAACATAATGAAACAAAATTACATTACTTATATTTAATTACAAAAAAACTAATTGTGTCAATTTTTACAAAATACATTCGTGCATACTGATCAAAGGATATCTTCATTGAAACTGCCAACAAATGCAATTGTTTAACAGTTCAGAAATATGTTAACTCGGAGATCACAATGAAAAGTATTAGGGATTATGAGGTACCAAGTACAATGGTTTAAGTAAGTTTATCTCTCAGCAATCTTTTGAGATCAATCTCTCCAATTGCAAAATAAATATAATTGTGAATGAAATGGAACATGTGGTACCCATCAAATTCTGCAATATGAGCAAAAAACTGAACTCAATACCAAACACAGTTTGCTGAATTGCAAAAGTAAATTAATCAGCAGTTCTTAGTAAGTGTCCTCTTACTCTCCATAGCATTTGCATGAAGTTAAATTCAGCCATCATACCTCCTGTCTTCAAATTCTTCAATATTAAGACACATACTTTTAATTTTACTCAACATACATCTCAGAGAAAGTTTCTAACAAAATGTACACAATACGAGAAACCAAATGCAATTATTTTCTGTTTTCATAATTTGTCAGATGTTCTTCCTCAGCCTTGAAACAAAAATCTACAAAACAAATTTCATACACCCTAATCACTCGTTTCTTTTGCTGTTAATGAATCCTACTTGTTTGGTCTGAATTACTGCCACTCGACAACAGGAATCCAATGTTCATTACATCCAGCACAAATACAGTATTAATATTCAACTCCATTAAAATTTTGAGGAAAAATTTTACTTCATTGTCACCAAGTGCCACTCAATGTAAAATTGCTAGTAAAAAAATAGGTTTTCCCTGAATCTATTTAATTATGTAACATAAAGAAAGTGTCTCTTTTTCTCTCCCTTAAATTTAATTTAACCTCAATTTCTCAATTGTCTTTTATTTCTAAGGCGATAAAATTCATATCTACTCAAATGAGTTTATGAGGTAGCAACTTTGTAATTTCTATTAAAATGTTTCATTCACTAATCAAGAGATGTTATGAATGGGACCAATTTGTTTGTGAATGAGTTCATACCAGGATTAGGATTTTAAAAAGTTTTTTTAAAGGTGAATTTTGATCAATGCTACAGACAAAATTAATCATGGTGGCAAGTTGATAGAATGTACTGTTCAAAACGATTTTTTTTTCCATTCATTAACAGAAAACCTTTTTGGGTAAAGCTTATATGACATGTGAAATGGCAGGGAATTTGTCAAAATCTATAAATATAGCAAATATTATTAAAGGTCAATAGTAAACATTTAAGTAGAAGTGTACACATTTTGTTTCAAAAATAATTTCTCTCATCCGGGAATATGTTATAATAGTATGTCTATTCAAGAAGCTGACTCTTCAGGCATTTCATCCTCACTGTCCAATTTACTGCCACCACTACAAATTCTGCATTTGCAGCACACAATGCATGGGGCAGCCAGCAGGAGTAGAGGAGATGCCACCAGCAGCAGAATGCCAAATCCCGCAAAGATACCAATAACTTGAGTTCGATGCCATATAACAGAAGCCCGAGAATGACCCAATTTATTCTTGCAAGGGCCTTTGTCGTAATGACGCAGTAGGAAGTCATCCTGTGAAAATAAAACACATGGGTAAAGAACAATTAAGTATTAGTTACATTATAAATATTGTTAATATACTGAATGTACTATTTTATATTATTGAATATTAAACATTCTGTAAAATTGAATTATTATCAAATTTGGAAATAGCGACAGATGCTCACTGAAATGATACACACTTCATTTTATCTATAATATTAATATTATGGAGTCGGAAATACATACATGAAATATTGATAAACACAAAAGTTTTATTATATACAAAATAAAATACCCCCATTACAGCAATAAAATCTGAATAATAATAACATTAAAACAAATACCATAAACAGTGAAATGTTTGTGTGATTTATGTTATAATTACAAGTATACACTTAAAGCCAGGTTTTATTTTAGACAGCAAATATTTATTAGTATAATGGAAGATCTAGTTTAAAAAATGAATGGCACCATGACTTATGTTGTGTTGATGGCTACTGGAGGTAAACAGTTCATTTTAGTTTTGATGTTGCCACCTTGAAACATCTCAGAGAGAGACTGCCAATTACAAATGGACACAAAAGTGGCATAGATTTTTCAAGTTCAAAATCAGAATCTACCTTTTCACAAGATAACGCTCACTGAAATGATATACTCTTTATATTATGTTAAATAAAAATTATAAGTAACAAAACCATTCCTAATAATTTTCACAGTTGTAGTAAATGAAAATATCTTGTAGAGAAAACATTATATGTCACAGTTAAATCTTAATATTTTAATCACTTTATCAAACTGAGGAGACAAACCAATGCTTTAACAACTGCACATTATTTTAAAACTAATGTATGGTCATGCAGTATAGCTTGGCTTTTTTTTCTCACAAAAAACATTAACTACAATGAAATGTTGAGGCCTTTGAATGACATCACAAAAATACATAAATGGAAGCAATAATAAAAAAGAAACCTCATTCTTCCCATTTCTTCAAAATACCAGTCCTTCACATTTTTGAATTCAGATGCATCTGATTGTTAAGCTATACCCTAGTATTCATGTTGCATTTACATCACATCCCTTCATACACAACAAGTCTAAGTAAAAGGGAAGTTAGAGATTTTACGAACACCAGTTAAGTTTGTTATTACAATATTAAATTTATAATAAAATACACTGGTTGACCAGTTTTTTTTCACAAGAAATCGGATTGGTGAAACTAGTGCATTTTTTCATACTGAATTCAGATATGCATTCAGAATTTTTCCATCCAGCACATTCTTTTGTGACAGCTACTTTTTAAAATCTGATTTCAACATTCCCTTTGACCTGTCATAAGAATGCTTACCTTATATATAGCTTTCTTATTCTAGCTTAATTTAAGGAAATTATAAGTAATATACTGAAACACCAACAGGCAACACTGTGCAGGTTAATTCACGTTTTGACATGCTCAGAGCAGTTATTCTGCCATTGTGATGTGTCAGTACAGAGGTGTCTATGAGCTTGTTAGCACATATATCACTAGTGATATATTTCCTTCCATTGGGTTTAGATGTGTACCTTGTAAGCTGTGGTTTAGTGTTTTGTATTTTTATCATGCCAAAAACGTGTGTAAAACATGCAGTAATTTCTTTTGTATTTGTGTTGAGTTGACTTGAAAGACTGAGGCAAAATTTAATGTCACTTGCGAAGAAGTGTTATCAACATTCCTTCGGCTGTAAAGTTGTGATTTCGAAAAGAGCTGGGCCCCAAATGCAAAATGTTTTGTGTGTTAAGACTTGTCTTGATAGGCATTTGGTACACATCATATGCCATTTGCAATTCCTATGAATTGGCAGGAACCAAAGGATTATCCAAGTAATTATTTTTTCTGTTTTTAGTTATTTCTGACAAATAAAGAAATCTTGAACCCCTAACCAGAAAAATGTGTCACATATTTTTTAAGATTCAATAGGACATATTTACCTCCATTGCATATTAAATTCAGAGGAATGAAAAGTTTAGTAAAAACTAAGGATAAACTTTCTCATGGTTTTTTGAACTTGAACTCGACATTTCACAAAGTAAGTTATACTGAATTGAAAGAAGGGACTTTTTATGACCACAAATGCAGTTACTAATGGTTGAATTTGAAGAACAGTTAAAGCCACTAGAAAAAGCAGTCTTTCAAAAATTTTAATTGCAATTTCCTTAGAAACCATAAAGCAGTAAACTATCAGGCATAGTGGCTGATTTTCTGCATTATTATAAAGCTATAAGATGTAATATATTTTTGAAAATCCTCGAAAATCTTGGGCTGGCAGCAATGAGAACAGTGAGCATTTCCATCAATTCAATTTCTACAATGCAAAACAGGTATTAAGGCAAATGCAGTTCTAATATGTTGGCTGACTACTGTGGACCAAGAAGAGAGATGTTCACGATTCAGAATATGCCTGAAAATCATGATTGCCACTTTCTAAGTACAGATTGAATAGTTAGAATGTAAGCCAGGATGAGTAGTAGGCCCTATACCATTTAGAGTTGCATAGCAAGTTATTGATTTTTTTAATTATAAAAAGTTCAAATTAATATCACATAATCACTATAAACTTTCAGAAGATGGAGCTCATGCCTTCTAGAGTTGAGGATTGGAATCAAGAAATAAAATTTATGAAAAGATAATTTATATTTAAAGAATTAGCTGAAAACATATGATTAATATTGGCATTGCCATAATGCAACATGAACTAGTACCTTTTGGCCTCAAACATGTTTAGGGGTAGAAAATTGATTGGCCATTACCGAGTCGAGTATCTGACAGTCTCCAAAATAAATTTGTTTTCAGTTTTTTTTTCCCAAGTGTGATGAATTTTAAATTTGGCGATATTTGAGCAAGTAACATTACAATTGTGAAAAGACCTAATGTCCCAGGAAGAAACAGTGGTTCTTTTCGAATTCAACACACCCAAAAACATAGGAGTCAGATAAAATTATGGAAACAGTTTTTCGGTTGAAGACCTGTGTAATAGTTTTCTAGTACCTGGCAATTAGTAACATAGCATCAGCCTGGTCTACTTCCTTTTCTTTGAAAGTCTCGGTTCAAGAATGTTAATTAAACCAGAAAATATCTCTCTTTTGCTACATTTTACCTTGTTCAAGATTCTAATTTACATTATTATATAATTTGTAAAATATTTAAACCATGAGGATGAAGCATTTTTTAGAATAATGTACATTTTCAGAATGTATGTCTAAGTTGCACATAAATATTATCGAACAATTTTTGAACAGATATTTTAAAACTGGAAAGATTTTACTTCATAAATAAACAAAACATTAACAGAAACTCTCAATTTTAGTTTGCAATACTCCTTTACATCAAATGAATATTTACACATGTATTATGCGTGATAAAGTGTGTGTATGGGTAGAAATTGACATTTTTTTTATTATTAATAGATATTAAAATCATTTTAAGTAATAAACTATAAAGATTTTAAACATTCACTTACATCAAGAGATGCTAGGCAGTACCAACAAAAAACATGTTTACAACGCTTGCACATCATTTGTGCACAGCCTTCATCTTTTTCAATAGGAACATTGCACATGGGACAACACTTAATGAGGTCAGAGTCAAATGGTATTCCGGGCTCCATATTATCTGGCATTCCCTCTTTGGCCAAACGCTGAGAATTTTCTTCACATGTTAATCCAGGATGCCAAGGATTTTTACAGTTTGAACAGAAATCTGATGTGCAGGTTGGGCAGTGGACACTCTGAGGTTGACATCGTTCTGTAGGGCATACAGAACACACTGTTTCACAGCCTGCTCGAGGGCACCAAGTTCGGTTCACATCCAGGTCGACTTCTGTAAAAATAAACAGTGTGTTAAACAGCTGCAAGATGAAATAAATTTGATTCTGTTTTAATTTTACTGACCTCGGTTAAGACGGAATTTTCTGTGTTTTTCCACCAACTCCACACTGACTAGATTTTCAATTTCAGACATAGAGATCACACCTTGCTTGTCACACTGTGCATCAGGGCAGGAAATATCATAAGCTCCTTCCTGTATTTCAAACTCAATGTAGCTTTTCATGCACTGAAACAGAAAAGACAATGGGTCATATTAAAATAATTTAAAATAACTGCCTCTTTTAAAACACAACCTCTTGTACTCTATATATTCTACATTTGTATGAATTTCATAAGTCATCAGGCTGTTCAAAATACCAGTGTTTCACTTTCATTATACTAACACAATGACATTAAACAATTCTTTCAATCTACATAAAAAAATGAAAGTAAGAAAATTTTTTGACTAACTTCTCTTTTAATAATTTTTGAGACGTTTGTTGAACTATGATCTACATATAACTTATAATCAGTTTAATAGTTGGCTATCAGTGTGCAGTGATGGTCAAAAGAGATCCTCCTCAGGACTCCCGAGGTCACCAAGTATAAAAATGTGCCCAGAATTCGCCCCCTTCCCCAAAAATTCCTGAAATTAACTAATAAAGGCCAATTACAACAGCAAAACTTCGTGTAAATATGTAAAAGAACTCTTTAAATGCTTATAGAACTGAACATTTATTTTTGTACATGCATTTTTAATGTCTTACCTACAAACATCCAACATCACTAATTTCCGACGTGTACAGAAATAGAAAGAAAACTGCAGCCTCCGGCCTTTTGAAAGGTTTCTATGGTTTCGTTAAGATACTCAGGAATTTAAGAAATTTCAAGCATTTATAGTACCAATTTTAAATGCTGGCAGAGATTGAAAAAACTACAGCATCCAGTCATTTGAAGGGCGTCTATGGTTTCCTTTGACCCAAGAACTCAGGAAAATTCCAAAATGCAATGAGTTTCGATTTTCAATAAAAAATATTATTCCGCCTGTTCTCGTACTGCGCATACCGACTGAATTTTCATACTCCGTGCTCTACTGCTTACGACACACCTACGTATTTCAGCATCAAAGCTCCAAGGATGACCCCCCCCCCCCATATGTGCTATTCACGTGTTGCGTTATGGAACAGCAACTTTATTGATATTCATGGTAAGCAAAGAACTTTGTAATGTATATATCATGTTATTGTAGTATTCACGAAGACCCGTTTTTGTTAAAATGGTATGAATTTGCTCGATAAATCGCAAATCTGAGAGTCACTGCTCGACGCTGTGAATCTCGCAGTCTTCAAGGACTTAATGGAAAGTATTTAGGCGCATGCGTAGAACACGTATTCTCGTTCTCTGCATGACGTCATTAGTCTCTCGTTTAAAACAGCACATGACAAAGCCCAGACCGTATCAGACGTACACGTGCATGTAAAATAAATCAAAGTAGATCTCCACCATTCTTATGCACTTTACTAGCATTTTTAAACTGCTAATTATTTTTATTTATTCAAGAGAAGGGCTAGAGAGCTGCATCAGCGCCACTGCTCGGAGGAAACTCTCGCGCTCCCCGAGGCCTCCAATAGCGCTCGTCCACGCAGTGCCCGAGGAATCTTAGTGCGAGCCGGCCGCACGCGGCCCGAGGCCTCCTGTCTGGGGCGCCCTGGGGGCGGCGCAGCACTTGACAAGCAGGCCCGGTCGATAGGAGCGATGGCGCTCTGATAATTCGCCGCTGGGGAGTCCCGTAGGGCGCGCGGATGTTGCGAAGTGCACAAGGATGCTTGCCAGCCCTCGGCGCCAAAATAGCCCCGGCGGCCGGCGCCCGCGGTTGGGCGGTGGGCGATGGGCAGTGGGCGGGCGAGCGCCGGGCGGCTCGCGGCGGACCCGGAAGAGGCAGCGCCCGCTCGCCCACGCCGCGCGCCCGTCAATACGGGAGCCCCGCGCCCAACCGTCCACAGCTCGGCGTTCCGCCCCCGCACCGGAGATGATGGTGTCCAGGAATGGAGGGAAGTTTCCAGCACACAAGAGTCACAGCTTAAAGATAAAGCGGCGAAAATAGTTCGACAATTCAAGTGCCCGTGGAGCATCCTCCCCGAACAACCAAGACACGCCTCTTCGATCGCGTCCTACCCATTATCGATATTACACTGGGCAGAATAAACATCACAAACAGCCCTCACGTTCTGTACAACTACGAAACTGAAGTGTGCGGGTATCATATTACCCGCACACGCAAGGTAGCATCATATTCAACATACGCATATAGACTAACAAAGACAGCTCGACACATGCGGCATTCGGCGAATCCCGATCAACCGCTCGCCGAATTTCGAGTAATGTGAACGGCTTGCTTGCGATTCGCTGGGCAAAGAACGTTCAGTACCCACCGCGTGTCGGTCTTCAGGACACATCAAAGGAAGCGAACATTCGCCGAACACATCAGCTGTTCGGGATTGGGCGAGCAGTAGAGCGCAGCTCGGCGAAAGCCCAATGGTGAGCCGCCTTAAAATTGCATTGGTAGGCGACAGCTTTATAAAAATGCTGACAACACGATTCACGTGCCCGCTGCATAATACGGGCAATTTATATGGCCGTACCAGGTCAGGACAGGACAGGACGACCGGCCCGCCACGGTCGGGTATCGGTGCCATTGCCACGATAACAAAACACCACCTTTTACAGGCGCGCCCTTATCGCGCACCACGACGCGGAAGTAGACCGCCGCTTGTCCTTGAGGTAGTCCTTGCCGCCAAAGCATTGGGGCGTGTGTGACGGAGCATTGCCGCGCGTGCCCTAGTACGTTGCCACAAGCAGGGAAGGCATCTCGAGCACGTGTTCTGACAACCGTATTCGCGGCAGCAAGTTTTCTTGAGTCAGCAATACAGGTGGAGGGTGTAATACCTTGTTTTTTTGTTGTTTTTTTTTATTTCACGACCTTGCGGCTTGCGACTTGTAACCCGTCCGTTACTGAGCGGTTCGTTATATACCGCCTCACTCTTCGGAAGCAACCCCCAAAAGAAAAGATGTTAGTTCCCTAGTCGCTTGGCACGAAATGATTTCTGCTGGTCATTGCCCTCTGCACAATTGATTCCAAACGGTGTATATTTTACTATTCAGCGCATATTGCCCTTTGCGAACGATCTTCATACAAATTCGCGCGGTACCTCAGAATACGTTTAAGTACCCCTTCTGTGTTACTCCCTAACCAGCATGTTGCAAAGTTCAATATAAGGTTTTGTCGGATTTTCTCGGCCGTCTGATCACGGTGGTACTCTCCTGTGTAGCGTATACACTCACACCATTGAGGAGTTTGCAGCATTGCTGCGCAGGTCTCTTATCGATGAGTACCGGGATTCGAATTTCAGGTACAGCTTGCGGAATTTAGGTGAACGAAAGTCTGCAGAAGAAAAAGAATGGAAAAAATAAACTAGGTGCTACAACAGTACATACTTTCTCGCATTATTTACAACTTTTGACTTTTGGAAAATTCAGAATTCAATGATAATGAGAATTGCACCATTTTAAGCGTCCTTCGCACTCTCCGAGGAAACAATTGAATAGAAAAATTTGAAGCCATTTTTGAGAACATTTTGAAAATGTTGAGACTTCATGTAAAGTGCCCCCAAAACCAAAAATGACCATTTATAGTTTCCAGGATCTCGAGTTTGGTTAGATCGATGGGGGAATATCAATTTTGGAGAGAATCCTGTGAACAGTAAAGGCGCTAGCGTTGAACACGGTGGGAGTTTTCTCGTCAACTAATTGTTCGTCATAAAGGACACACAAAACGTAGGTTAAAGCTACACAACACGTAACTGGAAGTACTTTACTGCATATTGGAATACGCTTCATCCACGTTTTGGATATCATGGCCCTTTTTTGCTCCACTGTTACAATACTTTCTCTATACTACGTAAGTGGTATGCGAGAAAGTAAAAAAGAAAAACAAGGAGTGGGTGAATTCCTCGCCTCGAGCGCAATGCTTTGAGCAGATTCGGATTTACAGTTGCTAAGAGCTGAGTCACGTTGTCGTCCAGCTGGCAGTTCACGCATTCCACCGTCTCTGCGAAAATAAATACTTCCCACGGCTCCAAGGCTCTTTACATATGGACTGTGTCTGCAAAAATCTAAGATCGCCATCGTGTTCGACATTCCGAAGAGACAAAGTAAAGATTTAACATTCAAATGCACGTTGCGTGTACATGAAAGTACCGTCCAAATGATTTCGGATGTTCAGAGAGAAAATTACCTTGACTAATTCTAGAAAGGAAGAATATGAATCTACTGGTGCTACAACACCACATTACATTCTCATATTGTTGTTGAACATCGTGACAGAAACCTGTATTTAGCGACAACTGTTGGTTCCCTGAAGAATTATTAGTTCCCTTTTAGAGTAATGGTAGCTTAATACGAATTTTTGTTGATTTTTTACAAAAAAATATATTATTACAGGACGGGTGTTTAGGAAATTACCTATTATATGGTATGTTTATGAAAGGTTTTTTGGAATACTATAAGGAATTATGAAAAAATAATCATTTTAGCCTTTTGACGTAAATGTCTTTTCAGAGTTATTTACCATCTTTTAAATGTACTTAAAATATTTATATACTCTCTCTTGAGTAAAAATAAATGTTTAAATCATTTCCAGTTTTAGTAATCCCTAGTTTTCTCTCTGTGAAGATTCTTTATTTTCTTGTGGAGACTCAATTCAGTCATTTAGTTACTCATGGCATTCTATGCCCTAGAAGTTCAAATCCATACTTTTCTTGCACTTCTTCGCGCAATTAAAAAAGAGCTTTATGCGATGGGTCTTGAGTGAGCGGTGGACTGAAGATTCCGGACGCAACCCAAACACTCGCGAGCTACGGAGCAAGTCGATAACCCTGACTATGGCATTCTACCGCACCAGACGTTGTTCAGGGACGGTAAGGTATTTAAGGAAGGCTCTGTTAATTCAAGGGATTAAACCTCACTTTCATATTCGTTCTCATTTAAAGCATTAAAGCTAAATGGAGCGAACAGCCGTGACACCACAAAAGTGGCCACAGTTTGTTGTTACGATTCTCTGTTACCCCTATCCTCCGATTTCTTCGAGAATGAACCTTAGGTACAGGACATACCACGCGAATGCTTTTTACAACGTCGCTAATTTGTTTTAACTACTGAAAATTCCGAATATTACACATTTACAATTTT